CTTGATGGGGAGAAATTCCCACGCATTTTGGTGAGCACAGGTCACAGAAATATTCTGTGTTGTGAGAGCTTAGTAGGAAAAACTGAGTTTATTTTTACCTATATCCTCAGAGAATCGAATGGCAGTGGTTTAACATATGAACCAAGAATCAATTTGCTTAGAGGCATGAGGTCACTTGTATGGTAAATCAAAATATCCTTCCTGGGTCTTCATCTTAAAATACCAACAGTTCCTAGAACTAGAGTCTATTCCCACACAATTGTGTGTGAAGTAGCAACTGAAACAAGAATTGGACTAAGAAAAATCACAGTTTCTTACAAGAATTGATACCCTTGAAAATAATCACTTTCCTGATTATCCATACAATACAGTCCATTATGTAAATTATTTACAAGCCTACATATGGAAATAATGGATTTCATTTAAAACTACAGCATTCAAATCACTATACTAGTTTATTAGAAATTTTTGAACATGGGGAGATAGACTTAAGGTCTACTAGGAATCCTAAAACTATCAATTGAAATATAAGAAAATTAGCCTTACTAAAGACAATAAGACTGGGGAAATACATCAGAAAGCCAATTACAAATGGTGCTGTAAATGGTAGTAGTGAGAGGCAGAGGGAACAACACCCTTGCCTGGATATAGAAAATTTTATTCTTGTTCGTGGATTACCCAACTCTGCTCAATCATTCATTCAAGCATTTACTGAGCATCTAGCAGAGATTAAAATAATAAGAAGACAGTACCTATATTCAAGAAGTTCACAATCTTCTAAACTGGAATATGACCTTTGGAAAGTCACTGGAGCACTGTTTCCTTCTATTTAAATATGAACAGTAATGGTCCCCACATCAACAGGGAGGCTCAAAGGTGATGAGAAAGCATCATGACATGTTTAAGTGACATGTCAATGTAGATATGCCTTTTGTTTTTTAACTGAGCAAAAACTATGTAAGTGTAGTACTGGTTTTCTTACCAAGCTAATGGAGAAACCTATCATTTCAGACAGGCCCACCATTTAATCTACCACGTGGGTGGGACATGCATTCATGCCATATGTACCTAAGACACTCTGTAAGGTCTATCAAAGAAATTATTTCAGACCCTAGAATTCATTATCCCCATAAGACCATGCTGCAGAAATGAGAGGCAGGGCATGCTTCACACCTGCACAGCAGTTTTCTCTAATATTAAACCTAAACAAAACTTGTGTCTGACTACTTCATGACATTGAAATAGACACAACTGTATCAGAAGACTATCTGAAAAGTGATACCTACCTCTTCCTTAAATCACACTATTTCCAATAGATCAAAAATATTTCCCAATCAGTTCCACATCTTAAAACTCCCCCAAAAACATTTATATGCCAGATAAACTTTTTAAAAATTAAATCCACCAATAGATCTGTCCAGTATGGAAACAATTATTTATGTTGCTATTGAGTTTTAATATATGAAGCTTTTATTATGTAAAAATGTAATCAAAAAATACCATACTCAAGTAATTTTCAAAACATACCAAATAATTTTTCAAAAATGAAAATGTATGACAGGGAGTCACAACCATAAATAATGTCAACTGTGGCATTATAATAAAAAACGATCTGATACAATGCTAGTAACCAATGTCTATCACAAATTTTAACATTGATTTTTTTTTTTTTTTTTTTTTTTTAAAAAAAAAAGAAGACCAGTAAGAGGATCTTAACCCTTGACTTGTCAGCACCACACTCTCCCAAGTGAGCTAACCAACTATGACTATATAGAGATCCGAACCCTTGGCCTTGGTGTTATCAGCACCACATTCTCCCAGGTGAGCCACGGGTCAGCCCTCAATTTTCTAATTATAGGAGAAGTTAAAGAAATATATCACCATACTTAAAAGTTGAGAAGTACAAATATTCTAAAACATGAGTGTGTGAAATATTCTAAAACATATGTGTATGTGTGTGTATTTTTTTTTTTTTTTTTTGGCAGTACAGGGATCCAGTCCGAACCCTTGACCTTGATGTTATAACGCTATGCTCTAACCAAATGAGTAACTGGCCAGCTCTCAAACATTTAAAATTTTTTGTAGTCAGTTTAAAGCAATGTGTTAAAACATAGATGATATTTTACCACAAGAGATCAGCTTACATTTTAAAAGCTCTATGACCTACAGCAGTAAGTGCATAACTTGTTATTGTAGAAGTCACTAGACCTGGACTAATTCACTATTAGCAAGTTACTCACAGTTAGTAAGAGGCACTCACTCACCCACTGAGTTACCTGAAGCAGTTAATGCAGTCATACTAAAGAACTGATGTTTGCTAAATAAGGCAACTGAAATATAGCATCTACAGTTCTTTTCTGATAAACACTCATCTCATAAGAGATTCAAAAGACCGTGACATCCCATCACTGTCTACTATATATTCCCATCGTACACAATTTAAACTTAATTTTCTATAGTTTGTTATGAGCAATCAGTGTTTTATACAAACTAAAATGATAAATGTTCTCAAACTACACTGGTCTTCCTCAGAAATTATGATGTACCCCATCTGCAAATAACTGCTACTTGCTAAGTCACAGTGAATGAAATAACACTGTTATTTGAATTCTAAATGCAGTAGCAATGTTTCTTATTTTCCCTTTACTGAATTTTACCAATAAATTACCATGTTTTAGCTTTACCGATTTACATCTTTCAGTGAACACAGTAATATTTTACTGGATATTTGGGGGAAAAGCCATTTCAAGAAGTCTTGTATTGCAATGGTGAAACTAAAGAAAAACTAGTCATTTAAAAATGACTTTAACAATATGCCATAGCCCTAGATGTTTCTTTTAAATGTGAAACACAATAAAGTATAAAATAGGAAGAAGATATAAACTTCCACAAATATTTTCTGGTAGTAGGTAAGAATCAATATTTTGCTTTAAGAAATGCTTTTTCTAAGACAATAACTGAAAAAAATTTTAATTACCATGCTGAAGCACTGAAGACAGTTTGAATCACCAGAAAAAGCATGGACTTAGTAATGATGTGGTTATGTAGTAAATGGCCCTTACTGAAAAGTATCTTGTGTAAAATGTTGTGCCAAGTAACTAGCACTTCATTAACTTCTCGTGAGTTAATGACTGAAATGCAAACTTCCTAATAGAAACTCCACATAGTTAAGAAAACCCTGCTAACATATCAAATCTGTTTTTAGAAAAATCTCAATTTTCAAAGACAAAAATAGATTTATTTCTTTATACTTTACACGTGTGATTGTACCCTATTTTCAAAGAAATCTTTATATCCATTATTCTCACTTAATTTTCACAAAAATTCCTTTCAGTGGCACAGTAAAAACTGCTGGAAATTTGCAGGCAGCTTCTTTAAGCCTACATTTTCTTATATATTGGACCAATGTCATAGGATTATCAAGTGGGAAAGCTAAGACTAAAATCTGTTTCCTATTATTCCAGAGAGCTAATAACATCAGTAATAAAAATCTAAGTTTAAGAAAAAGCATATAGAAAAATATTGCCAAACCAAAACCTAACTACATTTTGTTTATGTAGTAAATTACAACAATAGAATGATAGATAGTTCTTCTGTCAGCACAACTGTATCTTATTAAAAGTACACCACCTCTTACCTGTCAAATTGTTGGCTGGTTACTCTGAACCACCCCAAATAAAGGAGAGAATGTATAATAAAAAATAGCTCTAAGGAAAGTCAATGTCAAACAGTCCTTGCACAAAAGTTTATGCAGTAATTCATAAGAAAACCAGTTAAGCCCTTACTTAGAGCCTATGTATTCTGATTATCTCACTTCTCACAGTCCTAATAGATTAAAGCTGCAATGGTAGCTGATACTACAAACAGACACAAGTAAACAGTAAGAAGTAATAGCATAAGAGGCAGTTGGAGTTTGACCAATACTGAAGAGGCAATAAAATGCAGGATCTCCCAAGGGCATCAACGTAATCATTATATTGATAACCCAAGTCGTCAAGAAAATTAAACTGCATTCAGTGAAATCTATTTAAGAAGACAGAAAACTATATAATACATTGAGAAAAGTTTTCTGCGAAAATTATCCTGAATTATTCTTGGTACTTACAGTAATAACAAGCAACAGTTACCTGGAAAATTCTCTTGTGTTAGAAATATATGCATTCAAATGTCACACATTTATTAATCTATTTCACCCAGAATCCTGCAAATATTTTTAAATGTTTTATTTAAACATGAAATAACGTTTATTTAAAATGTTATCAGAAAAGAGGGCTATTCCCAGCAACAACCACCAAGCCACTGCAGGAAGCACCCAGGCTCCTGAGCCAGAACAGACGGGAGCCGAGGGCCTTGGCCATGGCCCCCCACCCCAACACCTGCAACTAGCCCAGCAACGACCATCGATCCATCACAGGAAGCGCCCCAGGCTCCAGAGCCAGGGCAGTGGGGGATCGAGGGCTTCAGCCACACCACCGCCCCTGACATCTGCAATGAGCCCAGCGATGACCACCAAGCCACTGCTAGAAGCCCCTTGGTCTCCCAAGCCAGGGCGGTGGGAGGCCAAGGGCTTCAGCCACACACCCCTAACATGTGCATCCAGCCCAGAAATGACTGAGCCAACACTGGAAGACCCTGGGTCTCCCCTGCAGGAATGAGGGGGGTGCCACAGGCTTCAACCATGCCCACCCTTCTTCCTCCTCCCACCCTATTTCATTCCCCTTCCCCATCCCTTTCCTCCTGAACTGCCTCACAATATCTTAGAATGTAAAAAAAAAAAAATTAACAAATAAACTTAAAAAAAAATCATGTTTAACCAGTTCTTCTCTTTTTTTCTCTTTTTCAGTTCCTTAAGATGGCAACGATTACTCATTTCTCCAGCTTTTCTGTCACCAATAAATATAATATAAATAAAATTTAAGAAAATTAAATTTAAAAAAGAGGGCTATTAATTGGAATTCCCAAGAGAGCCATTCAGTTTGGTTTGGTTCCAAGATACAAACCTACTGCAGCATGAAACTGAGATAAAGCATCAGCTAGCTGTCCAGCTGCAAGTAATTTCTTGCCCAATTCAAGATGTTTCTCAACATCTGCATTTACTCCACAATCAGCACCTAAAAACAAACAAAAAAAAAATCAGTTAACTTTTCACAAACCAAGATTTAATTCTAGAAAACAAAATGTTGCTTTGTTAAGCTAGAATCTCACCTTAATGAATATTATATAGTCTGCTGTATTAGTCAAGTACTTATTGAGTATCTACAATACGCTGTTCTAGGCATGGTCATGCACTATATAACAATGTTTCAGTCAATGAAGGATCACATGTTCCACAGTGATCCCATAAGATTATAATTGCTTTACCATACAGCCTGCGTGTGTGGTAGGCTATACACCATCCAGGTTTGTGTATGTACACTCTATGATGCTCACACAAAAACAAAATCACCTGAAGACTAATTTCTCAGAACATATTCCCGTCTTTAAGCAATGCATGACTGTATCTGGGATAAGCAGCAATAGACAAAAACCCCTGCCCCTCACTCACTCTCAGTACCTGACATTATAGTGGGAGAAGAAAGACATAAGTAGGTAAATTACACAGTATGTTAGGTAAAAAGTATTGTGGAAAAAGCTGAGCCATATGAGTGGGTCAGGAGTGCAAGGGGCTTACAGTAATAATAAGGGGGTCAAGGGCAGGCCTCCTTGAGAAGCTAACATCTGAGCAAGACTTGAAGGAAGTGAGGAACTCACCATGCAGATGTCTAGGAAAAGAGCTCCCAGGAAGAAGGACCAGCTAGTCCAAGAGCCCTCAGTGAGGAGCATGCAGATATGTTCAGAAACAACAAGGAGGTCTGGATGGCTGCAGCAGAGCCAAGGAGACAGAAGTATAAGGTCAAAGAAGTAGAGGTCCTAATTATGCATGGCTCTGGGTTTTACTCTTGTTAAAATAGGGAGCTATTAAGGAATTATGAGTAGAATAACATGATCTGACTAACTGGACCAATTATTAATGTACTACACATCTCAATTCTGAATTCACCCTCAGTACCTGCACTGCAATAATGGACTGAAGTTTTTAAGCACTTCTCCTTTACAGTGAACACAATGTTATACCTTGTCAATAAAGGATACTGAAGGGACATGGCAGGAAGGACACCTCCTTGTTCTGCTTGCTGTGTTTTACTTTTCTTCTGGCTCCTATTGTATGTTCTGTCACAGGGAGAACATCCTGCTGCATGGTATATGTGGGGAGGACATCCAGTGCTCTGCCCTAGCCATATGTCCAGGGGTCCAGTACCCTCAGCAAGCTGGCAGCCTCAGCCCAGGCACCACTTCCCAATGAGGACAACACACACTGCAGGTTTCACTCACATGGCAGCACCCCAACTCTCCATGCACATAAGCCAACCAGCCTTTGCTTACCCCAGAACCATTTTCTGTTTTGTTAAGCTAGAATCTCACCTTAATTAATATCAGATAGTCTGCTATTAATAGCCAAGTATTTACTGAGTACCTACAATGCACTGTTCTAGGTATAGTCATACACCATATAATAATGTTTCTGGCCACACCAACTCAGCAAACTTCTCCACCAGCAAACATGGGCTGCAACTATACCTTCTCCAATGAGGTCTGAACTTCAGCCCCCCTTCCAAATTAGCCCTTCCTTGGAACTATCTCTCAGCCCTAGAATACCCTTTAGAGTTCTCTTCACATCTTTACTCTCCTACCATAACTGAACAATTCTTTACATTAAACTTCTCTTTTAAAAATTACTTTGTCATTTATCTCCTGAATGGACCCAGACTGATAAACAATTGGTATTAGGAGTGGTCCCACGAGACGGACCCACAAAGATGGGATTTGAGGATTGGTTTGGTCATCCCCTTGAGTTTGAGTGCAGTGCTGAGCTTCCTGCCAATGGGAAATGAGATACTAGTAATCCATAGTAGGTACTGGAATCAAATTAAGCTATCACTTGTGTTGACTGTCATGAAGTGCTGCCAACCAAGGCACATGTTTTGGAAGGCTAAGTGCTGCTGCACTTGACTACAATGGCAGAAATGATGAAAATAAGGACTGTGATGTGGGGTGGATTCTTTAGAGGGCACTAGAGCACCTACAGAAAGAAAATAACAAGCTCTGATATAACTCTCAGCTCAAGCCATGGTCTGAGAGCTTCCATGACAGCTCTAAAACAACCTCTTATTTTTTATAGCCAGAGCTCATTTAGCTGAAAATCAAACATAAAATAATGAGGGTTGCTTAATTAAAACAATAGTTGAATTTGCTGTCTCACCAATTTTCTCCTGTGAAAGTTACAGCATAGACTAGTAAAGACAGTGATCCTTAAATTTGGAATGGTAACATTTATTCTGACCAAGATTAAATGGTCCAATTTGAATCCCCAAGTCCTTCTGGGCTGACCTTACCAAAAGACCAGAAGTAGCTTGCTTTCTCCCGTCTGAGGAGACTAGCCTTCCAGTGCTTAAAAACCCTTCGACAATCTTACCTAGGGCAGATGCCTTATAAAGGGATGCTCATCATTCTGAAGACCCACCCTAACCACTCCCATTGTCACTAACCCAAGTCGACTCTCAGCAGGCTCCAGAGACACAGGTATATACTATGACCCCCCCCCCCCCCCACAAAAAAATTCTTTTTAACATCAAAAGAATTGCAAGACTTTATTGATAAACCATCAGAACCCCACAGCACATATATGGGAATGAATTCTAAAAGTGCTAGACCAAGGAGGTCTAATTACATCAGGTCTAATTCATTGATATGTGCTCATTTACTAAAGCAGAGAACAGCAAACTGTTTTTGTAAATAAAGGTTTACTAGAACACAGTCATGCCCATTAATGAATGGGCCATATTTTCTATGGCTGCTTTTATGCTACATCAGTAGAGCTGTGACAAAACCCATATGGCCCACAAAACCCAAAATATTTACTACCTGACTGCTGTGCATTGATTGAATTCTGTCCCCCAAAGTTCAAGTATTAAAAGCTTAATTCTCACTGTAACTGTTTAGGGTGGGAAATCCTATTGTGATAATCAAAAGGTGGGGTTCTTGAAGAGGTGACTAGATTGTAAAACCTTGTTGTAGTGAATGGATTAATAATGGTAGTCAGAGGTATGGTTTTGAGGGCTTTAAAGGGAGAGCACATGAGAGTCTCTCTCTCTCTCTCTCTGCCCTACCACTTTCTGCCACATGAGACCCCTGCATTGCTATAAAGCCACCACCAAAGAAGACCCTCACCATATGTGTTCCTTGGACTTTGGACTTCCCAGCCTCCAAAGCTGTAAGCAATAAATTTTGTTTTCTTACAAATTACCCAGTTTAGGTATTTTGTTATAAGAGAAACAGACTAATACACTGACTCTTTACAAAAAAGGTTTGCTTACTCCTATACTAGAAATCCCACATTGAATGTGTTAACTCACACAGCTGACAGTGATTCTAACAATTTACTTGGTAGGCTGACTGAAACCTGGAGTCAACAATGGCCTATTTTCAATAAGGCTGAGATTCCAGAGTTTCCCTAGCATGGTAAATCCGTTATTTAAGCCAGCCTCAAAGATTGATGAGTTCATGGTTCTCACCAGACCAGAGCTTGTTTAGATGAACACTGCTGTGGGTCCCCAATAAAAATAACCAGAAGACGTTCTCCTTTCATCTTGTTTTATGTACTGAGATCTGGGCTTTGTGACCAGTGAGAATATTCTCTCTAGGCTCTGCCAGCCAGTGGGTGCAAGTTCAGCTTACATCAGACAACCAGCTGAATAGGCTAGGAGCCTGAGACAGCCTGAGACAAAGTGACGACAAACATTCTCTTTGTCCAACTATGCCAGGACAGTTTGTCTCAATAAGAGGTCCTAGCCCATAAGGGCACTTATCTCATCCTTCCTTGCTTGGTTAGCGCTGGGAAACTCCCATCCCATTAGCGGCTGCCCAGTGTCCCAGATTAACAAGCCTGTGACTGGAGGGATTCCACCTTTCCAAGTGAGACCGGAGATACTGTTATCATAAACACCATAATCACTACCTGTAGCAATAAAGGCCTTTGCTTTCTTAGTCTAATTCTAGTAGTTATCTTTTTGGATCACGGGGGCTGCATCTTCTACAACTGTTTTGGGAACACCACTTGCATCCACATGGTAAAAATTTATTCTAAGCCTAGAAAATTACTTCCAGATCTTTCCACGAAAAAGCTTACTGAATTAAGTGGACATTAGAATAAATACAGTAATATTGAAGATGCTATTCATTAATGGCCAACTGATGGATCTTTTGAATTGAAAACGAACTTCTAGACTTGAAAAAATTTTAGAGAGTTCTCATCCTAACAACCATCTTGGACCAAAGAGATTAAAAAATCTAAAGATGAAGATAACTGATATTCTTACAGATTCAAAAGGATGCAACATCCATAAAAAACAGACCATGAATGTATGCACTCAAGGCTCTAGCAATGGAGATGCAGTGGAGAACAAGATATAAGCAACATCATTTCTTAAGTGTCATGAGGCTAAGGTGATGGACTGCCTGAGGAAAGGAGGAGTACTTAATGTAGATAAATGGGTCAAAAAAGACTCCCTGAGAAGATAATGTTTGGGTTAAAACATAAATAACAAGGGGAGTGGGTAGGGGATCCTGAATTACAGAAAGCCTCCAGCATGCCAAAATCATGTCCAAGCAGGGAGAACATAACCAACCTCAACTTCATGGAATCTAAAGAAGACCCCAGCACAGTAAGCAAGAGAGAGAATAGAGGACACAGGCAATACAGATCACATTAGGCCTTGCAGGTCACAGTAAGAAATGCAGATTTTCTTCCAAGTACAAAAGGAAGCCATTAGAGTGGGTTTTAGCAAGGAACTGAAGATCTGATTTACATTTTAAAAAGATTGCTTTGGCTACAGTGTGGATTGGAGGCAGTCAAGAATGAAAAGAAATGTGGTGATGTGAACTAAGAATAGCAAGTTGCACTGCAGTATATACATTCTGATTTCGTGTGCACTTTACGATGTAATATGTATTACTGTATCAGTTAACTTTTTCCAGCAAGAACGTATTCACCCATTACTTACACTTTTTAAAA